TAGTCCCACTTCTGTGTCTCTCTGAACCACGTGGCTGTGCTAAAAACCTCTCTGGAAGTCTCAGGGGACTCCATGCTCACCTGCTGGCATGTATCACAAGGATTTGAGTTGGAAGAGACCTCAAAATCTCATCCAGTCCAACCCCCCCTGCACTGAACAGGGACATCCCCACCTAGAGCAGGTTGCTCAGAGCCCCATCAAGCCTGACCTTGAATGTCTCCAAGGATGGGGCCTCCAACACCTCTCTGGGCAACTTGTTCCATTATTTCACCCCCCTCACAGTAAAGAACTTGAGGCTGTGAAGCATCCCTGGCTCCAGAAAGCCCCTGGGGAGCAAGAGCTCACCTGCTTTCATGTGAACTGCAGATCAAAATCATCACAGCACTAAAAAAACACCCAAATTTAAATAGTGCTCAAAGTTGGAGGTGGTTAACAAGGCTACCTTGATAGTCTGAATGTTTTATTTCTAATTAAAGACAGGACTTGCCTTCTCAAGCTCAAAATCATGGAATCCCAGAACCATTCTGGTTGGAAGAGACCTTCAAGCTCTCTGCCCTATGCTACACACCTTCCACTTCACGGAGGGGTCTCAGCTTGGCAGCTGCTGCTGCTGGAGGTCTAGCAGGCAGTGAGGAGGCTGAAGGAGGCAGCTCCCCACAGCACTGAGCCCCAGTGCCCCAGGAGCTGCCAAACAGCCCTACGTGGGAGAGCTCAGCCAGCCTGGGCAGAGACACCCCAAGGGGCAAGTGGGGCAGGGAAGGGGATGGAGGAAGTTAGAATCATAGAATCCTTTAGGTTGGAAGGAACCTTCAAGATCATCAAGTCCAACCATTGAGCCATTAGGGCTCTAAAGTCCTCTGCTCAAACAGATCAGAATCTGTCAGGGTTGGAAGGGACCACAAGGATCCCCCAGTTCCACCCCCTCTGCCATGAGCAGGGACACCTCCCACTAGATCAGGCTGCCCAGAGCCTCCTCCAGCCTGGCCTTAAAGACCCCCAGGGATGGGGCCTCAACCCCCTCCCTGGGCAACCCATCCCAGGGTCTCACCACTCTCCTGGGGAAGAACTTCTTCCTCACATCCAGCCTGAATCTGCCCACTGCCAGCTTTGCCCCATTCCCTCTAGTTCTGTTGTTACTTGAGATCCTAAAAAGTCCCTCCCCAGCTTTCTTGTAGCCCCCCTAAGATACTGGAAGGCCACAATAAGGTCACCTGGGAGCCTTCTCTTCTCCAGACTGAACAGCCCCAACTCTCTCAGTCTGTCCTCACAGCAGAGCTGCTCCAGCCCTCGGATCATTCTCGTGGCTCTTCTCTGGACACGCTCCAGCAGCTCCACGAGTTGCCACAAACTTCTCTCCCTGTGTTTCCCCAAATGCTGCTGCAGCCCTGCAAAGTGGTGGTGATGTGCTGAGAGATGTGGGGATTGTTCTCTAATGAGACCATGGGAGGCTGGTTATGAGGAATCCTCCTGGATTTGGAAGCATCTGCTCCAAATTACAAAATATGAGACCTCTGGAGTTACCCTAGAGCCCAAGTGTGGGGAGGAGCAGCTGAGGGAGCTGGGGGTGCTGAGCCTGGAGCAAAGGAGGCTCAGAGGAGACCTTCTGGCTCTGCACAGCTCCTGACAGGAGCCTGGAGCCAGGGGGGGGTCGGGCTCTTCTCACAATTAGCAAATGATAGGACAAGAAGAAATGGCTTCAAGTTGCACCAGAGGAGGTTTAGGTTGGATATTAGGAAAAATGTCTTCCCCAAAAGGATGGTGAAGCCCTGGAACAGGCTGCCCAGGGCCGTGGTGGAGTCCCCACCCCTGGAGGGGTTCCCAAGCTGTGGAGATGTGGTGTGAGGGACACGGGGCAGTGGGGACCTGGCAGGGCTGGGGGATGGTTCCCCTTAATGACCTTAATGGTCTCTTCCAACCAAAACACTTGTGTGATTCTACCCATCTCCTGAGAAGAGAGCAGACTGCACAGGAGCCACCCAGGACAGGGCTGGGTCTGGGAGGCCAACCCCTGGGATGAACAAAGCCAAACCCTTCAGGTTTCCTCAGGAAGAGCTGAAGTTTCTGGTTACAGCCACTTCTACCAGAGGAAGGGGGGAAAAAAAAGAAAAGAATGAAAAAAAAGAAAAGGATGCAACATAATCCAAGCTGGCATCTAGGTTTTAGGATATCAAAAAGGAGCTGGTCTGGCTCTTGCCAACCAGACAGCCTTGGAAATGAATGGAGCTGTGTTCAGGGCTCTTATCCTCCTCATGAGGACAAATTCTGGCAGTTTCCCCTTAGGTAAAAGGAAAAAATAACCCCTTGTACTGTCAGCTTGATGCATTCTTGAAAGAAAAATCAGCTCCCATCTTATCTAAACCTGGGGTAATGTTACACATTCATCACTGGCCAGGAGTGGAAGCCTGCTGCTCCTCAGCAGGAGCTCTGACTGCCCAGGCCAAGGGAAGGACCCAGGCTGAAAGCAGCTGAAAGATGAACCCTCCTCCCTCCAGCATCTGAGGTCCCAGCTCTGAGCTGGGCTCCTGAGGATGGAACCAGCAGCAGGGGCAAGCAGCAGCTCTGCCTCCCAGCTTTCTTTCCTACCTTCATCCTTCACTCAAGAAGTTTCACGCTGGATCAAAGTTCCACCAAATCCCACAGCTGCAGAAATGCTGAATGAAGGCAACTTTGCCTTGGAAGACACAGGAGATCCTCAATGCCTGGGGAGGGAGGAGAACCTGAAGCCAGGACCACCACGGGGCAGGGAAGCAGCCTTCTGCTGGGGTGGTTGTCCCATGGGGTGTGAAATCATAGAATGGTTTGAGCTAGAAGGACCTGAAAGATGGAGTTCCACCCCCCTGCCATGGGCAGGGACACCTCCCACTAGAGCAGGTTGCTCAGAGCCCCATCCAGCCTGGCCTTGGACACTTCACAGCTCTGCCCTCGAGGGGCACAGCTCCACACTGAGCCCAGTGAGCTGTGCATGGTGCTTTAAAACCCCTCCAGGGCTGCTCCCCACTGCACTAAAGCTTCAGCCACCCTACAGAAGGGCCAAGGAGGAGATGGGGCAGCAGCATTTGGACACTGCCAGGCAAAGGGGCTTAAACCAAGGGCAGTGGCTCCACTCAGACACCACGGGGTTGCTCCTGCCCAGGCTCTTTGACTTTCCTTTTTTCTTTATCCTTTTTAATAAAGCAACTACAGATCATAGAATTATTGTGGTTGGAAAAGACCTTTAAGGTCACCAAATCCAAGAGTGCCCCCAGCACTG